CTTTGAAACTTTACCTAAATCTATGTCCTATAGAACTCAGGATTCAACGGTTGAAGTGAAATCCTGCTAGCTCAGAGAGACTGAATAGCAAGCAGCTAACCTCTCTTTGCTTGCATCTCCGGGGAAAAAAGGGGTATCCTTCTGCTCAACCCCTAGTAAAGAACCTTAGCTGCATTGTTCTTCCCCATGGCTTCCTGTCAGCTAGTTGTTGACTCAACCTCCTGGCCCCAGGTTAATTTTATTTACTCAAACAATTTTAACACATCTTTGCATTGCTAACAAGGGCTGCAGAAACAAACATAACACACCTTTACACAGTTAAAATAATATTCCACACATTTTTCCTTGCAATCCCTTGTTGCTCATCACTGTCCTAGTCCAAATGCCCCACTACAGTACCCAGACTCCACTTGGCAACTTTGTGTCTTAGAGCTCAGCTCAGAGACTGGTACCAGCCAACCTGGACTTTATGACCTGTCCCTGCCCCAGAGGTGATAGAAGCTTGGCCCACGGCTTGGCACCAATGCCACCTAGGCTTCATGATCTATGTCCTTCCCCCGGAGGAGCTAGAAGCTGGACATACTAGCATAGTCTGGTAATCAATCATGGCATTCAGGAGGCTGAGGAAGGAGGATCAAAAGCTCAAGGCTATCTGGGCATAGTGGCACAGGCCTTTAATTCCAGCCCTTTCGAGGTAGAGGCAGGGAGATCTTTGTGAGTTCAAGGCCAGCTTGGTCTACATAGCAAGTTCCAGGTCAGTCAGAGCGACATAATGAGATCCTGTCTCAGAAACAAACAAAAGAAAGAAAGGAAAGAAAAGAAAAAAAAAATTAAGGCTACCCTGGGCTACACAGGTTTCAGAAAAAACAACACCCAAATAAAAGAGGGCTGGGGAGATGTCTCAGTGGTTAAGAGCACTTTCTGCTCTTGTAGAGAAAACAGTAGCTCACAACTGTTTGTAACCCCAGTTCCAGGGGATCCAGCACTGTCTTCTGGCTTCCATTGGCATCAGGCATGAATGAAGTACAAAACATTCACAAATTAAAAATAAATCTAAAAAAATTCAAAAGTACAACAAAACGAAAATAGCAGAAGTCAGTGAAGTATAGGCCAGTAGTACAGCCCTTACCTAGCATGTGCCAGGCCTGGGTTGAGGGAGGGAGGGAAGAAGAGAGAGGAGGAGCAGAAAGTAGAAATGGTGAATGTCTATGGGCTCAGCCTCCAAAGTTTCCAAGTTCACTGGCTTCTCTCTGAGGACTGAACTGATCTTGGTCCAAGTCCTGGCTCCTGGGATGACCCAACAGCTTCCCATAGCTCCTCCCTGTGGCAGCCAGAAGGATCATATACTTAGGAGCTTAAAGTTAGAACTCCACCCTTCCTTCCCCTCCCTTCCCCTTTTCTTCTAACTTTTCATCATGGAAATTTCCATACACGTACACAGAAGGAATGGAAACTGGCCCTTCCCCCGCGGGCGGGGTGGGGGGGGTTCAGGTTGTGTCTCTCCTTCACCTCTTTCTCATTTCTCTTTAATCTTTTTAAATTATACTTCATTCATTTATTTATTTTGTGTGATGTGTGTACATGTGCACAGTGCTTATATGGCAGTCAGGACAATGTGGATTGTGGGGATCAAACCCGGTTGTTCTGGCTTGAGGACAAGCAGCCTTGCTCACTGAGCCATCTTGCCTGGCCACCCTTAAGCTGTTTAAAGTAACTTCAGTGTCACTGTAAACACAGAAGTGCAATTAAGTATCTGTTTAAAATCTAAACCTAACGACCTTACTTCTTTGCTTAAATCTCCGAGGACAGGCTTCTCACCTTGCTCTGGTCACTAGTCTCGGTCCTGACTGCCTTGTGTCATTCTTGAAAGTTCAAGGCGGGCAGGTCATTGCCTGGGTCCCCATTTCCCTGGCTTGTCTTAACACTCCCCTCTGGCCGTGTTCATTTCTAATTCAAGTGCTTGCCTCCCCCATCCTCTAGTCCCAGTGGGAGGCCAGCCTAGGAAACTGAGCATTAAGATCTGAGTTCTGTTTTAAAAATATCCCCCTGGCTGCTAAGTGGAGGATGAGCCGGGGGTGGCGTGGGGTGGGGTGGGGAGGAGTAAGCAGGAAGACAGTCCTCTGAGATAAGGAATAGATGCAGCAGGGGGCTATCCCAGCCAGCCACAAAGTAAGCGTTCACAGACACGAGCTGTTAGCAGAGTGGCGATATAAGGATGCTTCGCGGGCCTTGCTCCGGATGGCTCCCAAAGCTGGCTGCTTACGGGACAGAAGAGCAGGGTCACCATGTTGAAGTGTTGCGGGCTCCCAGAACTAACTCCAAGATGCCTGGGAAAGGGAGGAGTTTCAGGCACACATGACGTCATTCCCTCAAGCACAGCTGGCCCCAAGTGGGGACAGGACCCTGTAGGCCTAAAAGCACCCGCGAGACTGAGTATTCCAAGGTGGGCGTCTAGGGGCGCCTCTCAGGGACAGAGTCAGGGTCAGTTGGAGTGACTTTGTGGGTCTAAGTGGCCGAGGCGAGTGGACACAGCCGAGGGCCGGATGAGGTGAGAAGCTCGGCCGCCAGGGGGCACCAGGGAACCTCCGCCATCGCAACCCGAATCTTCCAGGTCCGACAGGACCCAGGTGCCTCCTATGTTCTCGCGGGCGTGAGTTCGCGTCGCCTTGAAAATGAAACGTTCCCCGGCCACCTCAATGCACAACGTTGATCAGCAGGCGGTTCGTGAATCTCGGCCTACCACATGCCTGGTGGGTGACCTTGAATAGGCAACTTGGACTTTCTGTCTTGCTTCCTTGTCGTAAACTGACTCTCACTTCGACCCATTTCTCCCCAAATCCCCAAACGATTAGGGCTCCCAGTCTTTGAAAACGTGGCCAACGTGGGTCCAGGGTGGTGGCATGTGCCTTTAATCCCGGCAGAGGCAGGTGCAGAATTCCAGGCCGGTCTGGTCTACAGAGTGAGTCCCAGGACTGCCAGGGCTATGCAAACCCTGTCTCAAAAACCCACAAAGTAAATAAATAAATTTTTTTAAAAATTCCATCAGCCACGAGGGGGAGCCTGTGGTGTATTACTTATGATTTATTAAAGCTTACCTGAGGATTCAGAAAGCAAAGTCAGCCACAAGCCATAGAAGCCAGGCACACACCTTTACTCCCAGCAGCCAGAAGCTAGGAGGTGGTGGGTGGTACACACCTTTAATCCTAGGATTCAGGATTAAGAGGCAGATGGATCTCTGTGAGTCCAAGGCCACCCAGATCTACACAAGATTGATTCAGTCCTAAAAGAGAAACAACTCTTGCAAAGATGATCTCAGCACCTGGGATCGATCACACGCCCTTAATCCTAGCACTAGAGGGGTATAAAAGATATGAGCAGGGTCTTCAGTGGTCAGTATCAGGCATTCATTCTCCAGCCACACTGATTGGAAGATAGGATTCTCTAGCCACACTGAAAAGAGGCAGCAGGATCAGCCCATTCAGCCTGAGGTACTGGTAAGAGCTAGTGGCCTGCTACTTTGTTTTTCTGACCTTTAGCTTGAAGTTTGAACCCCAATATCAGTCTCTGGGTCATTTACTATTCCTGCTACAGGAGCCCACCCCTCATCCTATATAGGCTGAGCCTAAGTCATGCTCAAAGACCCTGATTGGCCCCAGGGCTGGGTTCCTAACAGTAGGTAGTTTCTCAGACATGTAATGTTGTAAATCAACCTGGAGCTCAGGTTGGCGAGGCAGCCAAACCAGAGGCTGGAACCAGCCACCTGCCCGGCCATGGCTGGAGCCAACACCTATGATTAAGCATGCAGTTGGGTCAGGTATGTCTGCTGGAACAGAAGGGCCAGCTATCAGCACAGACTGAATGACTCAGGGAAGTGGGTGGGGTAGTAGGACAGGCCCAACTTTAATACCAGATAAGGAAGGCTGGAAGCCACAAGAGCTGAGTGATAATTCTGATCCCCTTCCTCACCCTGTATAGTTCTGCAAATGGCCCAAGGGTTTACTTTTCCTTTATTACAGGCACCTGTCTTAGCCTTTTGTACCAGCCTTAGCCATAACCACAGCCACCTCTTCTCTCCAGGTCAGGCATCATGCTGCCAGTATGAACAGACATTGTCGTCTAGATGAAGCCAAGCTCCAGAACAGTCCATAGCTGGCCCTAGATTAGGATAGTAGCCACAGACCTAGCCTAGAACACAGCTGAGAACCCTTTGGCTGCCGTGCAGCTCATATGCTCTTGCTACATTGGGCATGTGGGTAGACAAAGGCAGCTGAAGAAAGAACTGCAACTCAGGACCAGGGGTTAGGGCTGGGATATGGCTCAGCAGGAATGTTTGCCCCAACATACAAAAGGGCCTGGGTTCCATCCCAACACCAACAAGAAATAATATCCAAACCAGAACACAAGCAGGTTTTATTCTGACTCTGAGCCTTGATGAATGAGATTCTACTGAGCCTCCATGGTCACTAACATGAGAGTTGGAATGCTCCTCTGCTGGGTTAAGTACTCAATGTGTCATATGAGGATGGTGGCTAGACTGTGACAAACAGGGCAATACTGCTGACTGCTGTGCATGACAAGGGCCTGGAATCCAGAAATACCCTGTTGAGAAGGCTCTGAGCTTCTGACTGGCAACAAGAGATTCAGCATCACTTGTTCTTGGACCAACTATCCACCTCTGTGGCTGATCAGGGTAGCTAACGTTCTGGTAGGTTGTGGAGAGGCCAAGCTGGCTCTTCTGTGGATTGTGTTGGACTCCAAGAGGCTCAGCTTCTGAGAGGCCAAGTAGCCAATTGCCAGCACCAAGGAACAGCTCAGGACTTGGCCTCTGTTGAGCACTTGGACATCAGAGGGAGCCCAGGACAGTAGCCTGAACACAGTAGCCCTCCAGGGACCCATGTCATAGTCCATGTTTACAAAAGCAAGCACCCCCACACCCCTATCACAAAGGCTGTACTAGGAGTGAAGGAGTGAGGGCAGGACACACAGACCCACAAAAGCCAGATGGAGAGCGGTCACTGCTTTTAATTCTGGTCAAGATTTCACACATCGAGAGCCAAGTGGGCCAGGCCCCCTCGACCCTGGCCACTCCTGCATATGTGATCGTTTAGAAAAATAAATATGAAAAGGCAGCTCTCTCACGATCATGGAGTTGATCTGATAGCAATTAAGTTTGTCTAAGCATCTGGCATAGTTCTGAGATTGCACCAAAAAGATCTGGAAGCACTTGGTTTGGTCTGAGGCAATAGAAGGCCATGGAGGAGGCTGGCCTCACATCTCAGAGTCAGCATACATGCCATTGATCAGGTAGTCCACCTGTGTGTAGTCCTTCTTCTTGTAGCTCTCATAGGCTTGCAGGGCAAACATCACCAGGACTGCGATGAAGAGGGTCACCCCAAGAACGAGCACCGCCAAAAGTAACATTTTGTTCACCAAGGATGGAGTGAGGGGTTCAGTGGTGACCACCAGGTACTGACCTTGGGTGCTGAGCTGACAGGAGTCTGTGGTTTGCACCTTAGGGTCCCCAGAGCTCCTGGGTGTTAGCCCAGCAGAGGCAGTACCAGCTGTGGCTTTGGTTTCCACCCGCTCTGTTGTCAGGGGTATGCCTGGTCCAACGGTCCCCTGTGTAGATAATGTAGGGCTTGGCTGTGTGGTCGGGGATGTGGCTGCCACTTCAGGGGTGGGGTTGGTAGGAGACACTGGCACTGTGCTGGCAGTTGGCTCCTTGGTTTGTATCTGGGTAGTGGTCACTACTGTAGAGGACACTGAAGCCACAGAGCGGGTGGTGGTGGTGGGCTCCAGGGTGGTATTTGAAGGACTAGGTGTTAATCTATTTGCTGTGCTACGCACTGGCTGCTCTGTTGTCACCTGAATGGTGGTACCTTGTATCTGGGTACCTGAGGTGGGTATGGTGTTCATGGTGGATGTGTTTGGAGGTGTGCTTTTGGCAGGACTCAGAGTACTTGTGGGACCGCTTGTGTTCATGGTGCCTGCAGCAACAGTCATGGTATGTGGGGCCACTGTTGCCACCGTAGCTGTTGGTGGTGGTATGCTGGCATTTGTACTTGGCACTTCTGCACGTGGTGTGCTGAGAGAGGAAAGTCCAGCAGTGGTGATGGGTAGAGTTTTCCCCAGAGATGAGGGGCTTGACAATGTAGGTAGTGCAAGAGTTCTGGAGGTCACACTGTCTGTAGTGCCATCTCTGGTTGTTGGAATGCTTGTGTTTGTCTGGTGTGTTGTCATCTCTGCTGTCACTTTGGTAGAGTTCAGGCTGGCTGCCCAGGTCCCTGTGGTCGATGTGACAGGAGTAGGCGACACTGTGGCTATTCGCTCGGTTGGTTTATTATCAGCCGTTGAACTTGTGTTCCTAGGCTCACTTCGCTTTACTGCCTTAGGCAACATGTTCATGACTAAAGTCAGAAAGGGACAAAGAGATAGAACACTTTCAACCACATATAGGGGTCTCATGCTGTCACCTTAGCTCCTGGCCCCTGTGCTGACTGGATGGCACCATGTTCTCCAACCAGAGCCCTGGGTCTTGATGAAAGTGACATGTGAGTCCAGTACCTCCTCTTCTCCCCTCCACAGCTGACAACAGCTGCCCAGAGCCCATGACACCATGAATTGGCCCATTTTGAGGCTCTAGCTTGTGGAGGCTTCAGAACTGTGTACCTGGATCCAATCCCTAGAGCATCGGGTCAGAAAGCTCACATAATATGATTAGCCAATGAAAACAAAACAAACTTCAGCCCCTGTACACACAGAAGAGTAACTGTACAGACATTCAAATTCTAATATTAATAAGCCTTGCCTCAAGGATGAGCTTGCCTGAAGGAATTCTCAGGGATAAGCAGAGCCCAGCAAGGCAGGAACACACCCAACACTGATGTGCCAACAAATGAACTGAAGACAGGGCAACTCTGCAGGTCTTTGCCCACCTGTGGTTCCTCCACCCCAGCCCTGACTGACAGCCCAGATCTGCAGCTGGGAAGGTAGGGATGTGTAGCTGCCTCTCTTCTGGGCTCAGGTTCCTGTGGGCCTTACTGGTGGTCATACAGCTTTCTCAACTTACGTGGCTCCTCAGACACTATATGGCTTCTAGATAAGGGCACGGAGGAAATCCAAACCAGCACCAGGGCTGTCCACATCTTGCTGGTGAGCTGGAAGCAGAGCTGGTGATCTCTGAGCCTCTCAGCTGGCCAGCCCTTCAGGCTGTCAACAGTTCCCTTCTGCTTGGCCTAGGGATCTGGGGTGAAGAAGGCAAGCGTGTCAGAGGCATTTGCTCAGCAGCACACAGCCTCCTCAGATGCCCAGGGCTTAGTACTATATCTGTTGTGCAGGCTCTGCAGGGTCCATGATGTAAACTGAGCCCATTGCTTAGACCAGGACTGGGGCCAAGGGCCAAGAAAAATGCAACTCAGTAGCCATGAGAGATATGCTGACCTGCCTGTGTCTTGTTTCCCATTGCCTAAACCACTTGACCCAATTTCCTTGAGTCTCCACTTCTGACGAGTCCCACTATCTTCCCTAGGAGCTAGAGTCAGAGCAGGAGGAAGCAAGCCTCACCAACAGGACAAATACTTCTCCCTGGTACTGGGCGAGTCTTATTTGTGTTCTGAGGGAAAGGCAGGGCAGTGAGAAGACTGTAATGTCCTGCTAGGCAAAGCTGAAATGAAGGCTTTGCAGAGACTCCAGGTTCAGCTATGAGCTCAGGCAAGGCAGCTGGGCCATGGAGATGAAGGCATTTAGATGGTTCTTGGATCACTTTCATCTACTGATACCCTAAAGATGCCAGCAGGTACAGGGGTTCCCTGTGCTGCAGCCCTGTTTGGAAGTCTGCTGGTGAATTCAAGGAGGAAAGTTGTGACAGGCACTTCTAGTGGCTAGGGAGGGGCTCAGCTCCCTAAACATCCAGGTCTTAGCATGCCCTGCTGCCCACTCTCTACAAATTCGGGACAGGAGTGGGGACAACTTTTTCTATAAAAGGCCAGGGAGCAAATATTTTAGACAGGGGATCATGCAGGCCATATTTGAACTACTTAGTCCTGCCAGGGTAGTGAAGAGACAAACATGATAGCAGTGGCTATATCCCACTACTATCTGCACATTAGGCATTCCAGGCAACACAGCCCACAAGCAGTAGTAGTTTGCCAACTGTGGTTCCAGAGCTTCCACCCACCTCAGGGTAACTGATTCAGCTAAACCAGGGAAGTGTTGACAACTCTACAAACCCACCACCCCAGGGTCCTTTCTAGGTACCCTGTCTGTCCCCAGACAGGCAGGGCCTGGAACACTCACCAGAGGCAGCTGCTCAGTGCAGACTGGGAGGCCAGGCTGATGTCCTCCTGGGGCAGCTGTGGGCTTGGCATCCTGTACTTGCCATATTAAGTCTGGCTTTGCAGGTGAGAGCAGCTGGGCAGGGCACTCCCAGGCCATGGCATTCACTGAGGCACATGGAGGACAGAGGCAGATGCTCCTCTGCAGTGTCAGACACACCTAGGGTTGAAAGGGAGCCAACACTGCTTAGGAAGAGGAGGGGACAAACATGCAGTGAGGAGACCCCAGATGGAACAGCACTCAACAGCTCGAGGCTGGGAAGGAGCGTGTGTCAGCTGTCAGTGTCACAACTCCTGATGAAGCAATTCTAACACAAGAACTTTTTTTGCTTGTTTTGTTTTGTTTTTTTGAGTCACGGTTTCTCTGTGTAGCTCTGGCTTCCTGGAACTTGCTCTGTAGACCAGGCTGGCCTTGAACTCAAGAGATCCACCTGCCTCTGCCTCCTAACTGCTGGGATTAAAGGCATGTGCCACCACTGCCCAGCTCAAAAAACTTTTTTGAAAGGAGGAACTGGACCATAAGTCTGAAGATGGAAGTCTGGGTGGCATGCACCTGGAACTCCAGGTTTGTGGGGAGCAGAGACAGATGGGTCCCAGGGTTTTGAGTCAGGCTAACTGAAATAGCTGTTTCTTTCACTGGTGCCTTTTCTATGGCACGAACAAAAGAAACAACTGATTTTCTCTATTATCAGCCGGTAGGCCATGTGGCATAGAGCAGTTGTTGACAAGTTCACATGGATTTTTTTTAACATTTACTTTCTTGTTTATGTGTGATTATGAGTGTATAGGCACATGTGTATGTGTCTGCAAGGGCTAAAAGAGGACACTGGACCCCTGGCACTGGGGTTACAGGCATTCATGAGTGCCTGACATGAGTGCTTCGGACTGAATCTTTCCAGTCCCCTACATGGAGGGTTTTTTTGTTTATTTGTTTGGTTGGGTGTTTTGGTGGGGGGGGTGGCATGTTTCAAGACAAGGTCTCTCTGTGTAGTCCTGGCTGTCCTGGAACTCACTCTGTAGAGCAGGTTCATCTAGAACTCACAGAGAGATCTACCTGTCTCTGCCTCCCAAGTGCTGGAATTAAAAATTGTGTACTACCACCCACCTTGCAGGAATTTTTTTTTTAATTAAAACAAAACAAGTAATTATCTGCATGTGCCTGGGTGCAAGTGACTACAGAGCATGTGTGGAGGTTAAGAACAACTCACAGGGAATGTGTTCTCTCCTTCCACCACATGGGCTGCAAGGATTGAAATCAGATGGGCAAGCGTGGTGGCTAGTGCCTTTACACCTTGAGTGCATGTGACAGCAGGTGCCCCCAGAGGCCAGAGGCATCACATTACCCTGGAGCTGGAGTTACAAGCAGTTGTGAGCCACCAGACGTAAGTGCTAGGACCCAAACTCAGGTCCTTGGAGAGAGAACTACGGCTTTTGTGTCCTGTATTCCTGGAGACAGACAGACAGACAGACAGACAGACAGACAGACACACACACACACACACACACACACACACACACACACACACACACGGGGGGGGGGGG